AATCAGAAAAATGTATATTCAAGATGCAGGTCACCAACATCAAATACAGTGAAAACAGGGGTTATCTCTAGTTAACCAGCAAAAACTACAAGTAGAGCTGTGGCTCACATAGTAGAGAAACAGTCTTGAGCAAAAAAAGCCAAGCAAGAACATGAGGACTTGAATCCAAGCCCTATTAATAGTGTGAAAGGGAAGGAAAAGAAAAGGGGGGAAGGAAAAAGGAAAGAAAATAATATTCAGAATGGGCCTGGGCCCTAGTTTCAACCCAATAAGAGTTAGATGATTCTCACCAGTCTCTTTCTTCCACTTTATACTATTGCCTGCCCATAAGTGAAGATCCAGATCCCAACAACCACACCACTGGCTGTGGACTTATGCACAGCTGTCTACTAATACTCATGATGGTGGCATTTCTCAACATAAAAACCATTACCACTGGGGGCTGGGAAGGTGGCTCAGTGGTAGAGCGCTTGCCTTGCATGCCTGAGGCCCTGGGTTCGATTCCTCAGCACCACATAAGCAAAAAGAAAAAACCCGGAAGTGGTGCTGTAACTCAAGTGGTAGAGCGCTAGCCTTGAGCTGAAGAGCTGAGGGACAGCTCCCAGGCCCAGAGTTCAGGCCCCACCACTGGACCCAAAAAAAAAAACCCATTACCACTTCTGCTATAAACTGTTGTGCAAATTTTACAAAATATGCAAAAGCTGGCATTTTTTAAATGGAAGTTATATAGAGCTACCATAAACAAAAACCTAATCAGGGTGCTGGTAGCTCACATCTATATTCTTACTCAGAAAGTTGAGATCTGAAGATCATGATTTGAAGCTAGCCCAGGTCAGAAAGTCTGTGAGACTCTTATCTCCAATTAAACAGCAAGATGCCAGATGTAGAACTGTGGCTCAAGTGACAGGGTGCCAACCTTTAGTGAAAAGGTAAGAGACTGTATCCAGGCCCTGAATTCAAGCCCTAGGACCAGAACTAAAGCCTGTTGACATTCAGCAGCAAGAAATACTACTGTCTATTTTTTTTTAATTTCAGTTTGATTGAGGTATGTCTTGTTTTTCAGTCCTAGTCTATAATTCATATTCAAAAACTGAGAACACCTGAGTTTTGACCACTTAAGTCAGCCTCCCACAGATATTTCTTTAGTCTCAAGCAGCAGACAGAACTTCTATGAATCCCAAATGTTTTATCAGAGCCTATGACAGTTATGGCTACCCCTTAAGAGTTGACAAAAAAAGTATTTCATTTCTAGAAAGCATCCTAAAATACTTCTTAGGCATAAATCAGTGCCAGTCTCTAGATAGCAAGCATCCCAAAGAAACCCTTCTTACTACCTTGTCTCCTTTCCATCCTTCCATTACTCAAGGTAACACATGGTCCCGTCAGCCACCGTGACTTTACCACCTTCATCTTCCCAGTACAGCCTTCATCCCAACCTGCCTCTCACCCAAGACAGTCAGAACACCACTCTTCTGAGGTGTCTACTTTTGCCTGTCACATGCAGACAGTACATCTTTCCATATAAGTGACACTATTGTCACAGTTGGGATAAACCAAGTGTATTTGCTAGCCCATGGGAAACATGACTATGGTATGCGTGCTATGAATGAGTCTGTTACGGGGCCCTTTGAAAAGTACAGCATGACAGGTCACTGTTCTGTCCTATCCTCAGAATTAGAAAGCCACAAGTGCTGAAAAGTCAAAATCATCATCAGAAATCTAGTTCTTTTCTAAATTGCCTGTTCTTTGTCTTAAGGGTCCCTCGTACTCTTTGGATCTTGAATTAAAGTTTGAATACCAATCTAGACTTTAAATCCCCACTTCAATGGGGGCAAACCTAACCTTAGCATTCCTCCTACAGAGTAGTCCCTATGTAATTAGCACTGACCGGCATGTTTAGGCAATTACTGGTGTAACATGAGCTGAGGTGTTCTCTCCGGCCTGGGCTAGAGTATGATGTAACGTGGTAGCTGGCTCCACAGCCATGAGAAAATTGTGTCTTCACCCAGCTGGAGGTGCTGATGCTGTGGTCTCTTGGCCACTATAAGTGTTACAGTGCAGGTCCCATATGGGTGACAGTAACATCGCTACAGGTGCCTGAATCAGCCTCCCTTCTTTGGCAAGAGGATTACTTCCTTACTGCACCAAAGTATCCATGACTCTCAGCCTTCAAATGTATTCCATTTCTCTTGCAAGTTCCATTTTTCCCTCCCTCCACTATTGCAAACACAATCTTGCTGAACAGAGCTGAATTTTTAAGCCTGCATTTGTGGTGTGGATTTTGATGGCTTCACGTTAGTTCAAGTCTCTGAGGACCAGTGCCAATAAATGTGAAAGGGACAACAGTGGGCTGGCATACTTTCCCATTTCTACCAGGATGAGAAAAAAAAACCTGCTATAAATTAAGTCTAACCTTAAATGTATAATCTGTCCTTGGGAGGAAAAAAAAAGGATATAGCATCTTCAAGCTTTCGGCATCCCTTACGAGAAAAAATTGGTTCTAAGGGTCTCTGATCTTGTGTTTTAGTAAAATAGAACTGCACGGCTGACTGACAGTTCTGATCTAAAGCATTTACGTTTAAGTTTTGATCTCTCTGCTTTTGATTAAAACTAATGAGCTCATTTAATTCAAAATGGGAATCTCTGATAAGAGAAATAAGGTTGATGTGATTGGATTAGAGGGGCAAATTAAACTCTTAGAGCAGAAGTTTGTGCTTATATAGTGTATTAAAAAGCTGTTGGCGTATTATGGCGTGTTAGATGATGAGAAAAATTTCATAGTAATTCATATTTAATCAGAAGAAATGAAAGTACTAAATATAACATGGCTCTGCTTCTCCCTCGAGTGATAAAAAGCTGTACATTTAAAATGACATCAGATCCATGCTCTCTGAAACAAAAAAAAGAGAGGAAACCTTAAGAGAGACACATAAGAAAGGGACAGTTGTCATTGTTCTATCACCCCAGAATAGAAAAGTCATGAATGCAGGAATATACAGTCCTGCCCAGGTAAGAGTAATACAGGACAAGCCCAGACAACAATAGCCAGTTCCTGTCCATACAATGGCTCTCTTGTTTCTTCAGAGCATCAAGTATCATATGTAAACTAGAGACTACTTGCTGTTCAAAAAATACAAGTGGTATTTTATAATTTAAAATATAAAAGCTTGGTTTAACAAGTTGTAATGTATCTTTAATAGCTATATTCGCATATATTCAACTCTGAAATCTCCTTATTTCATGCACATTTTTTAACCTCTATTCCAGAGGTTAGTAGAGGGCCACTGAAAAGAAAACCTGTTCATTGTTGGATATTATTTTACTTTCCAATAAGAAAAACTTTAATATTTAAGAAGCATAAAATTAGAATATTTAATAGACTTATTTCTCCATCATTAGTTTACTTGTAGAAAAGAGATTTAAATTTATAAAACACATAGAAGTTTGTTTTAAACAAAATAGACTTATGTGAATTTCTGGCTTGTTTGCACAAAGGTGTTCTTAGACAACTAAGATTTAAAAGTACCACTGTAAGATTCATAGATCAAAAAATATTCTGATGACTGGTCCTGGTGGCTTACACCTGTAATCCTAGCTACTCAGAAGGCTGAGATCTGAGAATCACAGTTCAAAGCAAGCCCAGGCAGGAAAGTCCATGAGACTCTCATCTCCAATTAACCACCAAAAATCTACAAGTGGAGCTGCAACTCAAGTAGTAGAGCACCAGCCTTGAACAAAAAGGCTAAGGTATAGCTCCTAGGCCCTGAGTTGAAGCTCTAATTCTGACAAAAAGAAAAATGAAAGAAGAAAAAAAAAAGCTGCTAAGTATGAAAACATAAAAAGTACCTTATTTAAGAGAAGTAACATACTTTCACATATTAGAAGTTAAGAAATAAAAGGCAACTGAAGAAGTAAGAGGAAACTGAATCAGGTGCCAGTGGCTCATGCCTATGATCTTGCTATTCATGAGGCTGAGATCTGGAGGATCAAAGTTCAATGCCAGCCTGAGCACAAAAGTCCAAGAGATTCCCATCTCAAAAATAGCCAACAAAAAGCTAGGCTGGATAATTAGCTCAAATGGGAGAGCACAAGCCAAGTGATACTGTGAGGCACTGAGTCCAGGGCCTGGTACTGACAGAGGGGGAGGGGTGGGGAGGGTGAAAGAAGGCGGAAAGAGAAAGAGTGGGTAGAGATGACATTTGATATTATGAGAACGTTTCATTTCCTTCTGTCTGTACATGCCATTCTTCTCCTATCTGGAGTCATGTAAGGAGATCTAATGCTTCTAGTTCCTTACAATGAAACTTCCAACTCAAGGGACTGTTAGGAGAACAAAGAATAAGTCTTCCCCCATCCAGTTTCTGCCTGTCCCTTGATTGGTCCTATCATTGTACAATATCCTTTTCCATATAGTTCCTCCATGAATGCCTACCATGTCCCAAAAGAGTTGCAGAGACAGGTGTCAGTGGCTTATGTATATAATCCTGGCAACACAGGAGGCTGAGATCTTTGTCTGTTGGTTCAAAGCAAGGCTAAAAAACAAGTCCATGAGTTGCTTATCTCCAATTAGGTGCCAAAAAGCTGGAAATGGGGCTGTGGCTCAAGTGCTAGAGCACCAACCAGCCTTGCAGGAAAAAGCCAAGTGACAGTGCCTAGATCCTGAGTTCAAGTCCTAGTACTGGTTCACAAAAAAGAAACAGAAAAAAGAACTGCAATTATTTGTTCTTATGAGGTTCTACTTAGGAAGTTGCAGCAAGTTAAAAGACTTGAAAAACTCTCATCCAAAACCAGAAAGGAGTTACTTTGGATACATTAATTTTCTTTTTTATTTTCTGCAAAGTAAACATTTTCTAAATGAGGCAAATTGATTACTGCGCTCTTAGCACCCATCAGTCATTTATTTTTAGTGAGCTCAAGGATTGCACCTGAGCAGTGGTTGGTGGGGGAAGGGAGCTGTGTAGACTCTAAGTCATGTGTGTATGTATTTTTGTATTCCTCAGTGGAGTCAACCAGTTTGTTAACTACCGACAACACCCTGGAGCGCTCCTTCTTCATTCGAATGAAATCTACACTGACCAAACGCGGTGTGCATATCAAATCTTCAGGATATAAGGTAAGCTGGACTCTGAGAGGGGAGACATTCTGGTGTTAGGTAAGTACTAGGTAATTTGCATTGAGTTTCCAGCTGCTTTGAGTTCATATAATTAAGACATGTGACCTTCATCCACCATAAGGTCTGCCCAGCTACTCCTCCTACCTCAATTATAAACATCTTTCTACCTCCTCCTCATCACTTAGACATTTCAGGTATACTGAATCCCCCTGGCCACTCCTCCTCAAGTTTTCCCTTGAAACCCTGGTTAATAACACATGATATGACTCAGTAGCTGAAGGAAACTGACTTTGGTGAAGATGGTGAGCAAATATGAGCTCCAGGCAAATGTTCTAGAACTACTTCTTACCTCTTTCTTTGTAGAGACTCCCCAATTGAATTTCATTGTCATCATCAGATATGTTCGTGTAGATAAGAAAATCAGGTTGGGTTGTTAAAAACTTTAACTCTGAAATTTCAGTTACTGAACATTTAGTAAAATTTAAGTGTATACAGAATGCTCAATGAGATGTCCCTCAGAAGCAGAAAATAAGGTCTGGTGGTAATCTGATATTATCATCCTAAGGTTAGGGATATAAACATCTTCTAATCTCAAAAACCTCCAATATTTATTCCAGTTACTATAGCAACATAAATTAAAAGCTATGAAATTTATGAAATGCCTTTGGCAACCTGACTCTTATCAATTTTACAACATACTAGCCAGTCACCTACATACCATTTATTGTATGTAGGAAGGCAATGGAAACAGAATAGGATATCTGTGTGGCCAGCACGGATCTTTCCCAATCTTAGACTTTAATTCTTAAGGTGACCCTCGCATTGTTGAGCTGTTGCCATTATCACGGGGCCTTAAAACCTTTATATAAGTCATCAGGAGACTAGCGACTGTAGAAAGTCTGAGGTGGGCACTGTCTTTGACATTCATTCTTTAGAAAAAAATTAAAAGAAGAAGGAAGATGGGAATAGGGCTCTTCCAAGGACGACCTTTAGCTGAGCTGTCCTACAGTCTGAAAGGCACATGCAGAGCAACCTTGACCTTTAGCAGGGTGTGACGCAAAGAGGAGGCAACCTCTACCTTCAGTAGCATCACCCTCTAGTCACTTGTTATAAAGCACTGTATTGGGGAAAGACACCAGAGTGCATTTGTATTTCTCTGCCTTGCATAACACTGTGCATTTATTAGTTGTTAACAGTATGACATTAGCAAGTTTGGAATCGCATTAAAAGACTACATGTGGAGATTTATTATTTTAGTGCTAGAAGGCTATGAGATATCCTCCCAACACTTACTGTTCTCTCAGCTTTCTTTCTTCACCTTTTCTGGACTTTTACTGTTTGGTAGAAGCCATATCCTAGGTGAAAGAGGTAAGATGTAGTTTGGAAAAACAATAGTCTAGCTGGGCTCCAATGGCTCACACCTGTACTGGACACCAGCCAGTGGCTCAGGACTGTAATTCTAGCTACTAGGGATGTTGAGATCTGAGGATCAAGGATTGAAGCCAGCCTAGGAAAGGAAGTTCATGAGATGTTATCTCCAGTTAATCACCAAAAAACAAAACAAACAAAAAAAAACAACAGAAGTAGAGCTGTGGTTCAAGTAGAATGCCAGCCTTGAGGGAAAAGAAGAAGCTAAGAGACAGCACCTAGGCCCTGAGTTTGACCTCCACGATCAGCACTAAATAAATAAATAGCTATCAGGTAATTTTTTAGAAAGCAGGAAAAAAATCCTTCATATTACAAACTAAGGATTACAAAGCTCTTCATAACCTTTGATCTGCAAAAACAACAACAAAAAATCACTGGGATGCATGAGCAAAGACATAATATGAAGAAATAACATTTCGGTGTAAGCAAGAGATGAGTATCTTTGATTTGCCATAGAAGTACCTCACCAAAGCTGTTTTTGCCACTTGGTCAGAAATTAGATGTGTGAATATCTCCAGATAGAACATCCATTCACTCAGCAAAGATGTATTAAGCTGCCACCAGCATTGACAAGGAAAAACACCTACTTTCATAGTGCTTACATTCTAGTGGGGGAAGGTAGACAACAAAAAAGAAAATAGATAACCAAACATGATGATTTGGGAGAGTAATAAAAACTGAAGGGACAGCAGCAAACATCCAATGGGCATGCCATTGAATACCCAAGGATATATCCTCTCCACAATCCTAAAGAGAAACGAAAAGTTAATTAGCATACCTGCCTTTGCCTATTGAAGAAGCTCAGCTTGAACTTGGGGAGTCCAGCTGCACATTTCCTGCACCTAGCCAGGGCTGGAGACTCACGGGGGTCACTCAGTAAACGGAGCCACCATGGGAACAAATGGAAGAAAAATGCTTTTGAAGCAACTTGAATCTAGGAGTCAAGACACCTTGTTAGAAAAGGGCAGTTCAAGAAACAGTGTATCAAACGTTTCCACCTTCAACAAGGAAAAAAGATTTAGAAGCTGCCCTGAATCCCATCAAATAATGTACTGTAAAAGGCACACTCTCCCGTGATACACACACCCAGGCAGGAAGTCTTTCTCAAGACACCATAAAAATCTCCATCCAAATGCCCCTGTTCCTCTCAGAAATGCTACCTACATTTGTCCATTGTCCCTTAGTAAGATGAATTGCTTAATGGATCCAGACTCTTCCTTCTCTTTTATCTCTTCCTCCTACTCACCCTCCTTACTCTCCTCTTTGTAACCTTCCCTCCTCACTCTCTCCATCCTGACGATCTTCCTCCTCCTGCTTTTCCTCCTCTTCCTCCTCCTCTCCACCCGCTTCTTCCTCCTTGCTCTCCATTTCTCCTCCTCACTCTTATTTCTTCACTCTCTTCCTCTCCATCCTTACTCTTTACCTCACATCTCTCCCTCCCTTCCCACCTCCTTCTCCTTTTCTCTCTCCTCTCTCTCCTTCTCCTGGAACCTCCCTCATTAATAAACCTTATCTGAATTTAGTAGAAGACCTGGTGAGACAGCATGACATGACACAGTTGAATCGAATCCCTGTTTATGTTCCTTCTCGGCAAGTAAATCTAGCAGCTTATAAACATTCTAATAAAACTGGTAATCACCTCCACCACCACACAATAAGCACAAATAAAAATAAACAGCAATGATAATTTCTCTCTGCTCTCAGTATTCCCCTTCATTTATTACCATTAAGTGTATCTCCCCCCCCCCCCTTAGCTAAAGATCCAAAAAAGCCTCTCTCATTGCAGGCCACTCTATTTCTCTCCATTATTTTTCTGTGACCTCAGCACATGAACCTTTCTAACGAGCTTCATCACTATATCTTTTGTAGTTGTCACTGAGAGTAATCATAGTAATGAAAGCATCACTTGGTGAGCATTACCTCTGTGCAGGCCCTGTGCCAAAAAGCTTTATGCTTTTTTTACTCCATAAAGTACTATTACATAAAACTTCCTATGGGTAATTAGCTGTTACACCCATTTTCAGGTAGTAAAACTGAGGAAATTCTTTTCCATCTTTATACAGCTTTCTTTCCCCTGGCAACACTAGGAATCAAACTTGTGCTTGCAAAGTAGGTGTGCTACCACTTCAGCCAGTCCCTTTTTGCCTTGATTATTTTTGAAGTACAGCCTCAACTGATGGCTTTTCTGAGCTCTGTGATTCTTCTATTATCTCTCCCCATGTCACTGGAGAAGACGGATGGACATAGTTGGCCCCAGCCATTGTGACTCCCTCATGGCTGGGATAACAGGCATGTACCACTGTGCCCAGACATTGTTTGAGATGGATTCAGGCTAACTTTGTTTTGCCCAGGTTGGCCTCTGTGATCCTTCTATCTCCTCTCCCCACCCTAACCCCAGGATTACAAGCTTGAGCCACCACACTCAGATATACAGTTCTTGAGCAGTTATGAGGAGACATAATTGAATCCAGCACTTGAGCTCTAGAATTTGATCTCGTAGACCTTCTGCTTCACTCTTAAATATTTTAAAAAAGGTTTAAAAGGCTCAGCATGACATAGACCTTAAAATATGATGATTTAAGTGTTTTGAAGGAAAAAAATTGCCTGAGTAAAAGCTTCCCAGTGTGGCTCATCTTATCTCCCTACATCAGGGCTTGGTGATCCTGAAGCCCCTAAGAATTCTGAGATACTTACCTTCTAAGATACTTACCTTCCTCTCCAAGACTTCTATAAATGCTCACATCCAAACACTTAAACTACTCCAAAGTCTACACCTTTTGAGCCCTGACATAAGGCTGCAAGCTAAAGTCTATACCTGACTTTAGTTGATGGATCAATCTCAAAACACGGGAGAACTGAAAATACTACATAAAGCTATATTTGAGCTACAGGCACAAGGTTTGTCAGAAATTTAAAGGAATTTCATGTTCAAACCTGTGTCTTGTCTTCAGAAAACATCTCATTATTTACACATATATGCTTCAAAATCCAAACCACTGCTCTCAAGCATTGCAGCAACTCAAACCAGTACTCTTTAACCAGGAATGCTAGTGAAAGAAAGGCCAATCTAATGTGCTAAATTGGGTATGGTATGCCACACAAATTATTGTGGCTTAGTTTGCCACTCCTGTCCTCAAGAAAGTTGCCCTCCTGTCTAATAAAGTTTCCCAAGTAGGAGCTGACATTCAGTTCTTTCAGTCCTTATTTGCTTCGAAATTCACAGTAGCATGTTATCTGGCTAGCCACTTATCTACACCTTAGGGACTTCCTTGTTATTTAGGTATCATTGCTGGTCACATATCAGCATGCCACAGCTCTTATTTAAATTGCCTGGCATCAATAATATGCCTTCTTTATTTTGTCTATGTTTGGAGGAACTCTGTGGGTATAAAACTGGGAGGGGGGAAAAGGCAAAAGGAGATATGTAATCAGGGAAATTATAGAAGTGAAGACTAATTGGGTCGCCTCCTTAGTGCTTGTCTTTGGAGGATAGGTTCCTTTAGAGGGGGACTTTCAGGTTTCTAATCTACTCTTAAATGCACACCAACACCACTGTCATTTCTGGAGAAGTT